TAACCAACTGGTGCGCAAGGGCGGGGTGGATGTGCGCCGATCCCCCATGGGGCCAGCAACACGGAGAAGCCGCCCTCTGCTCCCGGTAGGAGCGACACACCAGGGGTGGCACCGCGCCCGAGGCGGCCGAGCGGTGCCGAGCTGCCAAGGCAGGCGTCGACGACACCCATCAGCAAGAGTGAAGGATTGAATCACGCCAGGTCGAACAATAGCATACATAGTGATACTCATACTACTAATATTAATGCGAATGATAATCAACATGCAAATAATGACGATGGCAAAAACCATACTCACTATAATAGACTCGTAAGAACAATCATGTTAATGATGCGAGTAATGATACGGAAAACAATGAACTAAACAACTCATCATGTTATCATCAACGCTACTAACATAAGAAAAATAGCACGGTGAGGGCAATTGATCAGGAAACATTGGATAAGGAATCCAGGATCTGGAAGCCCGTGGAACGTCACTCGTAGAGTGGCCATGGATATCACCGCCGCACCCATTTCCTCCAGGGCCTGGCACTGAAGCCTCCTGGCACTGAAGAAGAAAACGCAGAGGACGGGGAAGAGGACGAGGAGGAAAAGGAAGAGCGGGATACTGAGAGGAGGAAGAGGAAGAGGAAGCGGGCACGAGATGACGGAGGATGATGCGGAGAGAGGGAAAGAAAAGGAGAGGGGAAGACGAAAAGGAAGAGGAGAGAAGAATGGTAAACAAATCCGCCGAGTCCCGCTTGCCAGGGTTGCCATGGCGTGTGAGATGATTGGCTGTCCACCTCCCCCAATCCCCCTCCCCTGGAGCTCCAAATCGCGGCAGAGGGGGGAGGGCGGGGGGGCCAAAGGGGTGAAGGGACCCCGCGGGACAAGGGGGGGGAGTCCCGGGGCTCCAAACAGCACTCCCTGGACTTCTGGGGCCCTCATCTGTACATTCTGGGCCTCCAAAGATGCCCAAGACTCCATCGAAGCCTGCTCAAGCTGGGCCCCAACACGCCGAGTGGGGGCATCAAGAGGAAAACAAAAAAAAAAAAAAAACGAAGACAGCTTCAAGGCGGCCCAAGGAGGGAGTCTCCAAGACGCACCCAAAGACCATCCTCCCAGTCCGTAGGAAAACGTATATTTTAGCATACGCACTCATTCATTTGAAAGCGTCCTCAACAGGCCAGGTGGCCCCCAAGATCGCGCCAAACCAGCCCACGAGACCCCCAAGAGGACCCCAAGACGGCCCAAAAGCGCCCCAGGGCAGCCCCAGAGGCGCCCAAGGCGGCACAAGAAGGCCCAACGAGAGCCCCAGATGGCCCCCTAGAAGTTCGCAAGACCGCCCAAGCCCCCCGAGACGCCCAAGAGGGCCCCAGCACGACCTAAGAGGGCCCCAAGACGACCCCCCAAAAACCAACAGGACCGCTCAGAAGGCCGACGTCGACATTGTCCTTCTTCTGGGTGTCGGCGACACGGCATATGCCTCTTGAATGAAAAGGGAAGAGACAAGCGGAGGAGGATGAGGAGCGCACGTAATATATGATGTCGTCGTGATACTACAGGTCAGCACTGATGACCAACTTCGTGGCACGTAGGGAGCCTCAGGTGGGCTTCAAGGTCGCCACCGAGGGGGGGCGAGGCTTCATGCTCTGCTCTGAGCTTGTGGCAAAAATGGAAGCCTAGCACGCCTCGGCGATGAGCGGTCTCTCGGGTGACCTGCGAAGGAGGAGGATCAGGATGTGGATGATGCGGGTGCAGAGGCAGACGTGGATGAGAATGCCAAACGATGAAGAAGAAAGAGAAGGTACCCATCCGTCCTCCTTCTTGCGCACCATGGCGAACGTGGCAGTCACCTGTGGGGGCTGGGTGCTGGGAGATTGTATCTGGTCGCGCTCTCCTGGGGGGCGGGAGGTCATTGGGATATCTCCGATGCCTCTGAAGCCAATCCTGGAACCATCTGAGGCGAAAAACGGGGAATGTCACAAATGTGTGAAACGCATGTGTCTGGCAGGTGTTGCCCCTCGGAGCCACTTCGCAGAACCATCCTCGGGCCTACATCAGGGAAGTTGTCTGGCCATGCCAAACGCGACGTGCCCACTTCCTGAACCCTGCTGGAGGCCGTGTTGGGCAATCTGGGCCCTCATCCCTCACGGAGCCCTCCCGGAACCCGCTCGGGGCCGCCTGGTTATTTCTTCCGGGAGGAACCACGCGTGGGCACGCCTTCGATGGGGGCCCTACCACTAACCGGGTCCCCTTACCCGGGGTCCTGGCTATACCCGATTCGAGCCCCCCGATCGGCTCAATGTCGGAGCCGTTGTGGGGCATCGTTACGTCGTCTTGCGGCGATCCTGGGGCTTTCACCTGATGCGTCTGCGCTCTCGGGCCGCCCTTGGGGCCCTCCTGTTCGGACCCTCCTGGAGCCCTCCTTGGGGCCCTCTGGGTGCTCTATCTTGCCTCCTCTTGCTCCTGCTCGCACCGCTCTCCCCCTCACACTCCCCTCCCTCTCCGCCCTCTCCGCCTCCGCCGTCTCCTCCTCATCCTTCTCATCGCCACCTTCCAAAGACATCCTCCACTGCCGCGCCGCCTCCAATTACTCACTGGCCGCGTCCTCCTCCTCCTCCTCCTCCTCCTCCTCCTCCTCCGCGCGTCCGCCCGAGCACTGTGATCAGGAGCTGGCGCAAACCCCGAACCCTGGGGACGTCTCACCGCTCAGCGGCGGCCGCCTCCGGGGGAGAGGCGGTGCGCCAGCCAGGACCGCCTCCTCCTCCTCCTCCTCCTCCTCCTCCTCTTCCTCCTCCTCCTCCTTTCTTCTCCTCCTCCTCCGCCTCCTCCTCCTCCGTTCTTCTCCCATTCCTCTTCCTCCTCCCATGCCTCCTCCAGCATCTCTGCCTCCTCCGAATCCTTCTGCTCATCCTCAGTATCTTTGCTTTCCCCCCCCCGAGCTTGACCGCTCCGGCCGCGCCTGCCCCGCAGCCGGCCGATCGGCGCGCCGAGAACGCCAACAGAAATTGTCGGGGGCTCTTCAGGCCCTCGGCCGTGCACATAGAGCGGGTCCCGGCCGCCTCCGTGGGGGGGCTGTTCTTGCTTCCGCCGCCCTACGCCGAGCTTCCGCCCGCTGATGGGATGCGTCCTCGGAGGGGGAGGAGTAGGAGGAGTAGGAGGAGGAGGAGGAGGAGGAGGAGGAGGAGGAGGAGGAGGAGGCCGCCGCCCTCCGCCGAGAAGCAGAGAGGCCAACTTCTTCAATCCCCGAAGGCGAGGCCCTGTCCGGAACGCCACTCGTGGAATTCGGACGTGCGCGGGGCTGGGCTCGTGTGTGAGACATCCAAAGGCGGAGGCCACGCGCCGGATACACTCACATCCCGGTGTCTTCCCTCGATGTCGGCCTCCTCCTCCTCCTCCTCCTCCTCCTCCTCCTCCTCCTCCTCCTCCTCCCGGGCCCGTCATGCGAGGCCTCCTGGACGAGGCCCGGGTAGCTGGGGTCGGAGGATCGCGCCGCATCGCGGATGCATCGGCGATGCATCGCTGGTGCATCAGGCCTATGCATCGGCGACGTCGGCGATGCATCGGCGCCATCGGCGTGGATAAGATCTGGCTCCACATCGAGCTGGATCGCCGATGCATCGGCGATGCGGCGCGATCCGCCGACCTCATCTGCTCTGACCCCACCTGGAAATCCTGGATTCATCGGCCCCGGGGCCAGCTAAAGCGGACCTGGGATGAACGTCTGCCTCCAGATTGGAGGCGGCTCAAGGGTCTGAACCGGCTGGGTCCCCAGACAATCGGCCAGGATGATGGATGAGGCCAAATCCACTACAAATCTGTCCCCAGACCCCTCCTGGGTTCCATCTGATGCAATTGTTCACCCTGGTTCCGTGTTTTCACGGTCGCGGGGTCCGAAAGCGGCCCCGGGAAGCTGAGAAAAAAGCAGACCAACAGAACCAACAGAAACTCCCGCACCCAGAACTCTGAACCTGCCCGCCCTCCCTTTCTGGCCAGAACCAGCGCTTCGCAGCCTCAGACCCTCAGCTAGGGGGCCACATGCGAACCCTACCCCCACCCTCCCCCTCAGAAATCGTGGGGGGTAGGGGCAGGGCTCGCATGTGGCCCCCTATCAGCCCGCTCCGACCTCCAGGTCAGGCGTCGGGAGCCCCGGGGCCGCGCCTTGAGAATCCTGCAAACAGATCGTGGGGCGTCTGGGCCCGTGCTCAGATCTCCGGCGCGCCCGGCCGCGCGCGGGGTCCGAGCGCTCCGGAGGGAAGTGCGGCCGCGCGTGCATACCCAGCCCTCGCCCAGGCCAGACGCGTTCCCTGCGCATCCAGCTTCCTGGAGATTTTTTTTTTTTTTTTTTTTTTTTTTTTTTTTTTTTTTTTTTTTTTCCGGCGAGGACCCACATGAGCTGGTGGGCGGAGGGAGGGGGGGGAGCAGGTGCTGGCCGATAACCCTCTCCTGTTCGCTCTGGCCAGCCCCACGAATGCCCGCGCGCACCAGCCCGGCGTAGCCTACTCGGACCTGCGGACCTGGCAAGGTCAGGTCATCCCGGGGGGAGGGTGGGGGGAGCCGGCGGGCCCGATAACCGTCCCCAGGCCCTTAGAAAAAAAACAGTCTCCTGGCCCGTGTGCGTGGTCATGGATGCTCGGCGGTGGCTGCGCTCGGAGGGGGGAGGCGGGGGAACACGAGGAGGTTGGCCCCCATCTAGGCCCAGTGCCCCGAATAGGCCCAAGAGACTTCCCCCCCCCCAGCCAAAAATGTTTGGAATTCCGCGACCCTTCAGAAGGGCTATCTCCCAACCACACGACAAAGACACAACAAGACGTGTGCACAGCACGCCTGAGAAACTGAATCGCCCCGCGATGGGAAGAATTCTGTGGCAAACGCGGCACCAGGCAGTGCGCCCAATAAAATGTCACCCAAACCGAATCAGCCCAAGAGGCCGCGAAGTGTTAAGAACTCCCCGCCCGCCAGTGGGACGCAGAAGGTCATACGCCAGACCAGATAATGTAGCACAATCATCTTGTTATGTTTCTGGATGATACCGACACTTTCCTCCAAACACGTCGACCGCAACATCCCAAAGAAGATGAAGCTGAACAGGCGTTCTCGCCAGGGGTTCGCGTGCAGGCACAGCTCTGACTCAGAACACGGTCGGGCAAGAAACCTTCGAGAGGAGGACACGACTTGTCGGCCATCTTGCTCATGCATGCACGCTCGCTCCAGCCTCCTTTCACGTCACTTGGAAACTGGTTCGGAGCACGAAGTGTGGCTCTGTCGCACATGCCCCCGAGCCATTGGCGCAATGACCCTCAATCGCAGCCCTCGGCGGGGCAGTTCCCCGTGGCACCAAAACGCCGAGCCACTCGTCAATGGACTTTGGGAATCCCGAGAAAGCAAATTGGCCGAAAATCGATCCAGCCTTCCCCGCCGGCTGCTGAGGAACCGTCGTGCCAAAACGAGGGCGGGGGGTCTCCCAGTCACGTGCACTCTCTCGCCCGTCATCCCGAGGCGGGGGTCGGCAGGCTGTGCTGGGGGTTGAACCACTTCTGCTGTCACTCGGCTGGCGCTGAAGCTCACAACGAATTCTTCAGACTCCCTTGGGTACCGTTGGATGTACCTCGACTTATTTGGACGTGCCTCGATTTGTTTGGATTTGCTGCGACTTGTCTAGGTCCCCGCATGTCGGTTGGATAAGAGTCGTCAAGCCCCATGGACCTCGTTGTCGTCGTCCCTCTCGGTGCCGTCGAGATTCTTGAAGAGATCGAGCCAGCGGTCGCACTCCTGGCCAGTTCGAGAGGGACTGGCGCCGGCGGCGTGCCCAGGGGGGAAAATGAGAAGGGGCGTGCCTTCTCAGAAGGCTCAGAAGTCCCCTGGCCTTCCAGAAAGTTTCCTAAGCCTGGTCCGAAGACGCAGGAAACTGGTCAAAAGGCGCGAGGGCTCCTGAGAAGTCCCGCCGCCTTCTGAGAAGACCTTCTCCTTCTCACTTCCCCCCCTCGCCCGCCGCCGATGGCGGGCAGGGGGCGGCAGGGAGAGGGCACGGGAGGAGATGTCCTCCCACGGCCAGCAGTCCACGCAGCCCTTCGCAGGCTGGGGCCCCAGTGCGCAGAAACGAAGAGGCCGAGGCGAGAGGCCGAAGCGAGAAGGCCTGGCCATCTGCCCGCCTCTCGTCCTCGCCCCCTCCCTCCTCCTGCTCCTCCTCCTCCTCCTCCTCCTCCTCCTCGCTCCTCCTCCTCCTCCTCCTCCTCCTCTCCTCCTCTCCTCCTCCTCCTCCTCCTCCTCCTCCTCCTCCTCCTCCTCTCCTCCTCCTCCTCCTCCTCCACCTCCTCCTCCTCTTCCTCCTCTGCCTTCTCCTCCTCCTCCTCGCCCCCGCCCTCGTCGTCTCCGCGGCCGTGGCACCCTCTCACTGCCTGCTGTAAGCGCCTGTTCCCCCCCTTCCTCCTGCACGTGGGGGCTGAAAAGAAGATAGAGAGACAGAGAGAGAGAGAGAGATAAACAAAAAAATAGAAAGAGAGTGAGAGAGAGAGAGCCGGAGAGAAAGAGAGAACGCGCCGACACGTATATATACATCTGTAGATGCACCGCAGAAATACAGGAGGCAGGAAGGTTATGATGTATGGACTAACACACATGACAAATAATTGATCGTCACACGGAATGAAAAGAGAGAGAGAGAGAGAGACACGAATATGTATATATGTATGTGTATACATATCTGGAAGCACCGATCTATATAGAGAGGGAGAGGGATAACGATGTATATACACATCGAAATACATACATATATACATACATATATACACATATACCTTTACATATAGAAATAACGAAAGAGAGAGACCCAACCCAAACAACAACTCGCGACATTTATATTTGTGAAGGCCCGCCCCGCACGCAAGTCCATCGCCTGAGCCTTCTGTCCAAAAACCGAACGCAGATTGGGCGATCCTTCTTGAGAGCCGCTGTGGGCCCCTCCGCCGCGAGCGGAGAGCGGGGGAGAGAGAGAGAGAGACGGCCGCGGGGCGAGGAGGAACAGGCCTTGGAAGAAATCAGCGAACACTCATGCCACATTCATCAGGGGGCCCAGGGACACACAAATAAATACACACAAATCAAAGGATTCCCAATATTTTTCAATATTTTTGGGGTTTTCGTCTTCACCCCCACTTGCCATATTTTCCCATACTTTCTGGGAATCGACGATTGCTTGTGTCCGTGTTTTTTCCCCTCCTGAATTGATCTGTCAATGCCCCACCCAATGACCAATGTTGGCGGTGGGCTGAGGGAGCTGCACCCCGCGCGTGCCAGCTTTGCGCTTAGGGGGAGAGGGGGAGTGCCTACGAATTGCTTCCCTCTGCCGAAGGAGGAAAGACCGCTCAGGAGAGCAATGATCGGCCTCGGACCTCGGCATCGAGCCCGGGGGGGAGGGAGCGAGAGGGGGCGGGCCTTCTGGGAAGGCGGAGGGCCCCCTCGGGGCCTTCGGAGAAGTTTTCGGAACCTCCCCTGGAGACGCAGACAGCCTCTCAGAAGGCCGGAGGCCTTGTGAGAAGTCCCGCAACCTTCTGAAGAGACCTTCTCCTTCTCACTTCCCCCCCTCGCTCGCCGCCGAAGATCAGACCACGTTTGCGGTGCAGCCCCCACGTGTGTCGACCACGACCCCCAACACGAGAAACGCCACTTGATTACCCCAGCGCTGCTTACTTCTAGAAGATGCTGCGGGCGTCGCAGCGATAACTGTGCAAGCATCCCTTCGCTGAACACTCGACCCTGGCTCGCTGCATGGGAGGCTGTACAATGCACGATCGCACACGGCATACTCACACGACTGGCCGAATCAACCGTAGCATGACGGGGCGGCTCCTGTATGACCTCCTCGATGGCCGCAATCTCATTGGCCTTGGATATTCTGACCGCGCAGAAATTCCACAATTTCTTGATAAAAATCGGCTCGATGAGGTACGACTCCGGCCCGCCTCCCACCCACGCGCGGATCGTGGGCCACACTCCGCTCCTGCTCCTCGTGCTTCTCCTCTTCCTCCCCCGCCTCCCCGCTCTTCCTCAACCACTCGTCCTTCTGCATAATTATTCGCCGCCGCGCCACCAAACATGCTGGCAGGGCGGGCACTTCGCGCACGCCTTCCCCACCATCTGTGATCCCAAGACTTTACTGTTCAAACATTGCACGGGTAGTGGGCTGGCCGGTTTCTAATTGTGGCTCCCATTCCTGTGCCGCGCACATGTGCCCCAAAAGCTTCATGCAAATTACCCGGATGGAAGGCGTGCCTCTGTCGAAAAGAGGTTCTCGCATTAGCGCCGAGCACATCCGTCACAACGACCCAGTTACACACATGAGCTGAGATTCGTGTCCGACATGTTGCTCCTGCCTGGGCATAACTCAACCTCGTTTTCAAAAGGTTCAGCAAGGATGGAGGGCAGTACATGGTCAACATGGTACTATCACGTTCGCGCCGTATGCGTTCTGAAGCAATTCCACTGGACGAGTGCGGCTCTGTCCCCGAATCTTCAGATTGCCAGAATCTAAAGATTTGCCATCCACGCGTGATTTGGAGGCCCTTTCTTTTCGGCTGGGCTTCTCACTTGGAACTTCTTAGACTTCCGTTCCCGGACACGCGAACTGCTGCCGCGCTGAGCTGCACGGACGGTAGGCGGTCCTTTCTGATCACGTTGGCACCGGGGCCCTGAGCGCCAACGCTGCATAAGAAGACACATGGCATCCGAAAACGAACACGGCACGGGCACATGTTCCGCATTCTAGATTGGTGAAGCGCGGGCACGGCATGCCACACGTTTCGCACCTTCTGGTTTTTGGGCTCGGAGCGGGCACGGCGCGAAACGGCATATGGTTCGCATTCTGGGTTTGGGACACGGCGCGGGCACGTCACAGCATGGCATGGCACAACTTTCGCATTCTTCGCTTCGGGCACGGCGTGGGCACGGCACGACACGGCATGCGGGAGGCCCGCAGGTGCGTAGCATTTCGGCATTCTGGGCTTGAGGCACGGCGCGGGCACGGCACGGCTGTCGCATTCTGGGCTTCGGCCACGGTGCGGGCACAGCGCGGCCAGGCCACGTGTTTAGCACTCTGGGCTTTGGTCACGGCGCGGGCGCGGCACGCGAAGGCATGGGAGTGGGGATTGGCCCCTTTTGAGCAATCTGGGTTTGGGGACGCGGCGCGGGCAAGCCACTGCACGGGCACGGCATGGCCAGGCACGTCCTGGCACGGGCGCGGCACGTGTCTCGCAGTCCAGGTTTTCGTATTGATACAACGCGGGCACGGCACGGCACGGTTTTCGCATTCTGCGTGTGAGGCACGGCGGGCGCGGCATGGCACGACACGGCACGGCACGGCTCATTTTTCACAGCCTGGGTTGTAGTCGCAGCTCGGGCACGGCTCGGCACGACACGCTGGCGGTAACTTCTTTGATTCTGGATTTAGGCTCGGCGCGGGCACGGCTCGGCCCAGCCCGGCGACAACTTTTTCGCAGTTTGTGATCATATTTCCCACGTGCAAAATCGAAAACCTTGGCTCCCAGGCCAGCAAAACGACGTGGTGTATACATCGAGTATCTCTGAGAGAAGCCCAGGTCGACCAGGGCCATGTCGGGAACACGAGCCTGCCACCTTACATAAGCAGCTCCCAAGCCCTGGTCAGCAGACGAGGGAGACAAAGGGGGGGGGGTGCTCAAGATGGCTCCCCCGATATGTTTCGTATCCATCGCTCGATCGATCATCCAATCCAATATCGTCCGCTTGAAGGTATGATGCCAAACCACTGGAGGCAAAGTCCGAGCATGTGAGACCAAAACCGTTTGTGTGCCCAAGATGGCCCCCCCAAACCTCGGCGGGCCAGACGGGACGAAAGGAGGACCGGCTTATCCCCCTCAAGGCTGAGCCCCATTTTGAGCAGAAAAATATCATGTTGGGAGGAAGGGGTTGGGAGGATGAAAGGCATGAGCAATAACATCCGGATGCAATGTGCGATACCTTCGGCCGCCTGCGGGTAATGATATCCTCATGTTTCCTAAGCCCGTCCTCCCAACCCAGTAACTTTCTTCCTGCCATCTACCTGCGCCCGCGACCGCTTTCAGCGAGAGGGGTGGCTGGCGGGACGTCGCTGCACTGGGACGGTCAGGCCGACACCGCCGACGCCGCCGAGAGGCCTACGGAGGCCAAGGCAAAGAGGTGCTCTCTCCTGCACGCAGCTGAGCGCTGGAGCTCGGAGCCCTTGATTTCGGTAGCTCGTGGCGGCTGGGGGTTCGCCATGCCTCCCGTGCGGGTCCCCTCCATGGCCGCTGCCGTCCCCGGCGACGATACAAAATGTTAGACGTCTTGTTTTGAAGATTTGGGCTTGTTCCTGCGCCCCTGGGGGTCGGCATAGGGTGCGGCACTACAAAACTGATCACATCCTCCCTTCCGCGCGAGCTGCGAAGGACCTTCTCTCGAGCCGCTGGCAAGAACAAGTGCCCCGTCCTCTATCCTCCGTCCGCCTCCTCCTCCTCCTTCTTTTTCTTCTTCTTCTTCTTCTTCTCCCACCTGGTCTGCGTGCCCTGCACGACGTCAACAGCTGCCCTCCTCCTCGTCCTGAGTCCTCCCCCTGTCTTCCGCCAGGCCCCCCCCCCCTCGCCCGCTCCACGCCTCCCTCCCGTGACCCCCCCCTCCATTCGCGCCCATGGGGGGGTGCCGAGCAGGCGGGTCTTCTTCTCAGAAGGCTCAGAGGGCCACCCGGCCTCCCGAGGAGCTTCCTCGGCCTCATCCGAAGCCTCGCAAGGCTGCTGGGAAGGCCGGCCGCCTTCTGAGAAGGCCTCCCTCGTCTCTCTTCCCCCCTCGGCGCACCGGCGATATTCCTTGTCCTCCTCGTCTCCCACCTCCCCCTACACCCATTCTTGCTCCGCGTCCAGTCGTCGGGCGCACACCCGAAGGAGGGTGCTGCGACCCAGTGCGAGGGAACAGCAAGAGAATAAGGAGGGGGTGGGGAGGAGGAGGAGGAGGAGGAGGAGGAGAACCAGTAGAAACCCAAGAGTCATCAACGATGATGGAATACCCCCCCTTCCAAGCTCCCTTTTCACACGCCCCTACAACGGCTCATTTCCACTTCATTTCCACTGAGCGAACTGCCTCGGTGGAAGACAACCGTTTGAAGACCCTGAAGCATGTCAAAACATTGTTCTCGGGATTCCAGCGTCACGGATCAACCTGGCTGTTGCGTCTTGACGATCCTGAATCGCGCCAGAACGCCGTCCCTGGTACTTCAACACCGCGAATCAACGCAACTGTTGCGCCATCAAAATCATGAGTCCTTCCAAAACACAAGTTTCTGGTACGCTGATCATGGGAATCCGTGAAACGTTTGCAAATTAGAAAAACGAATGTACGCGGCGCCACAGCGATAGACACATGTTGAAAAGGAACCGCCCTCAATCCGTGAAACTCTTGCAAAATATTAGACCGAATGTGCGCGACGCTAAAGCGTCAACCACATGTTGAAAACCACTCGCCCCCAATCCGTGAAACTCTTGCGAATGTTTAAAGAGGATGTGCGCGGCGCTAAAACGAGAGCGGCCTTTTGAAAACGACCCGCCCTCCATCTGTGAGGCTGTTGCCAATGTTTAAGCTTCAGGGACATATAAGGGGTGAGGAAATCTCAAGCGAGCCACCCGGGCCGCTCTGAAAACCGGCCTCGGGGTGCGACAGGAAGAAATTATTCATAAAGAAAAGGAATGGAGGAGGAAGAGGAGGAGGAGGAGGAGGAGGAGGAGGAGGAGAAGCCAGGAGCGGGGAAGAGACAGCAGCAAACGTTTGGCTGAGGGACTTGCCCCTGGCGCCTCCCCCCAGGGCCGACCTCGACCCCGCAGCGGTGATGACATGCCGGCGGCGGCCAGGCAGGCCCTGGGGGAGGGGGCGCCATCAGCGACTCCCTCAGCCCAGCGGCTGTGTTTTTTTTATTGCTCGCTCACGAGGAACATGAGCCTGAGGAAGGAGAGGAGGAGGATGAGGAGGAGGAGGAGGAAGAGGAGGAGCGAGCAAGCGAGCGACCTCGGCAGCGGTTGGGCTTCGACGCGCGAGGGCACGAGCCTACGAGTGTTGGGCGCCTATCGGCGTCCTGAATTGCTGCTGGTTCAGTCTTTGGGCGAGGCGGACTAGCCAGTCCGCCAGGTATTAGGCTGAGCAAACCTTCGGAGGTTCTCTGCCGTCGCCGTGCCTCAGGAGAATCGACTCCTAGCAGAAGGGCCTTGGCCATTAGGCCTTGGCTGAAGCCAGGTCCGTGGAGCCCAAGACCAAAAGCGCGAGCTGTCTAGCAAAACGGGGGGTGGCGACGATGCGGTTACGGCGTTGTCTCACCTTACATAGGTTGGGACAACCTCTCAGTTGGTATAGCAAGCTCTTTATTCCCAATATCATGAGATGGGGTTCTGGATATTTCTGGGACGCCGCCGACTCCAGAGAACAAGAACACACACAGAGCACATACTTACTCATACACAGACTTACTCATACTCAGACTTACTCATACCCAGCCGTTCCCATACACAGACTTACTCATACTCAGACTTACTCATACACAGAATTACTCATGCACAGATTTACTCATACTCAAACATACTCATACTCAAACTTACTCATACTCAGACTTACTCATACCCAGACGTACACCTACACAGACTTACTCATACTCAGACTTACTCATACCCAGACGTACTCATACACAGACTTACTCTGACCCAGACCTACACATACTCAGACCTTCTCATAGTCCGAGTTGCTCAACGCACGGCAAATGTGGAGGATGTCTCAGGCGCGGCGTTGCTTTCAGCACCCCTAAGGGGAGCCGCCAGGGGTGTTCTCACGGGCACGTCGGTGGCCAGATTGTGGGGATGTCTCAGGCGGTTTGCTCGTCTTCATGCCCAACATCCTTTGCTTTCAGAGCACGCGCTGTGCTCATAGGCATGAGCTCTTCTACCATTCGGGTAATGGTGAGGAGGTCGTTATACCTGCGGGAGAAGGTGCGAGGGATGAAGAAGTGCGTGCCGTCGCCGTTAGAGTACATCTTCCTATCGATGGCGATCAGCAGCGCCTCAGAAGTGACCCCCCATGCTGGGCATACGCGCCTATTGGGAGCGTGCCGGAGGTATTTTATCTGACCTTGCAGATTGTTGTTGGCCTGGTCGACTGCTAGGCCTGGCGGTGCCAACTTGGGTAACCATTGATAATCAACTGCCAGCTCTGTCCAAAAAATTGCTTTTGCTGCCAGTCCGCCGTCTTCAGCTTTCCCAGCGAGTCCTTATGTGGCGGCGTCCAGAACCATGTTTTGCTATGTCCCACAATTGTTACGCTTCTTCAGGCTCGACCAGTGCCTGATAGTGAAGTCTTCAAGCTGTGTACTTGTGACCAATCGCGTCTTTTCCATGCTCTCGTGCGTTCTTCAGCAGTCTCAGTGCGCCTCTCTAATGTGTGTCGCCGTCGTGTTGCTTGGAGCTCGCGAATTATGGCACTCAGTCGTTCACAGACTATGTCGTACTCAGATTGCCGGGGTTTTGTTTCGGTAAACGCCTTACTTGGCCCATGTCCCAGCCTTTCTCCTAAAACAGCTCTTCTCCGTATTGAATTTCCATTTGCTCCCTGCGCAAATGCTCGTACTTCTGAGACGGGTGCTCGCCAGGGGGGAAGATCTTCGTTAAGCTTGTCTGAAGGCATTCTCGCAATACGTCCCAGCCTGTTTGCACGTCGCCTCGGTCCCACAATTCTCTCCAACTATATTCGGGGATTTCTTCGGTGTGCCGCTCGATCTCCTTCAAGTAGTCTATGCGCAGGTGCCCGTGGACGTAGGCTCCCATGAGAGAGTCTCGATTAACTCGGGGGTGATGGGATCCTCTGTGTCCTTGCTTCACGTTGATGTCGATCTCGAGCATCAGCGGCACGTGGTCCTGCGGTAGTATGATTTCCCGTCGCTGTAGCCTTCGACCGAGCTGCTTCAACGCGCGCATCGTGGTGATCCTCTGCAAGCGTGATGTGGGCACGATGTGATGGTCGATCTTGCTGCTCGACGCGCCGCTGTAGTATGTTGGTCCTGTGTTCCAAAAGCTGCTGCCCACTGACACATTGTTTTCTTCAAGTGCGTGTCGAACACGTTTTGAAACTGCTATCCATGCCTGGGTTCTGTAAGTCCACCATCTCATCAGCTCGATCGTATTTTCTGCCAGTTGTGTCTCGCCGTATGCCGAAGGAGCAATTGAGGTCGCCACCCATGATGACCACGCACTGCTGTCCGAGCTTGTCATCCGCTTCTGTGCACCAAGTCATACACTCATCAAGCGTTTCTTTCAAGATGGATGGCGCGGTACCCTTTGGCGGCAAATAAATGGTGAAGAATGCCACTGTTGTCGAACCAATGCGACACTTTGCCATGGCGATGCGGCCTGCTATGCCCTGCGACCTGGGTGGGAACAGCGTCTGCTGCAAGGTGCCCCTGAGTGTGGAGCTGCACAGCACTGCAAGTCCACATGATCGATTTGCCCAACGGGAGTGGCGAACGCCAAATTGCACGCATGTGTGGTTGGGCAAGTTAGTCTGAACCATATCCTCGTCCTTCATGGCTGCGCGCCCCGTCGCATTCAGCAACAAAATGTCTGTGGTCGGGGTGAGGGTCGATATCTCTTCCAATCGCGTGTAATCTGCCCACTCAACGTTGTGAGCGACAACTCGCAGTACCATCAACAAGATTCCTGCGGGTGGAGGCAAGGGAGAGTAGGTACAGCAGGCCGGCCTAGGCCTACCGTCCCAATTGGATGTACCTCCACCCATGGGTTGTACGGTGCGGCAGGTGTAGTGGGAGTTCCTGCTGTGCTGAGAGCCACAGCGGCTCCTAGGAGGAGGAGGAGGAGGAGGAGGAGGAGGAGGAGGAGTAGAAGGAGGAGGAGGAGGAGAAGGAGCACCACATCCCGAACACAATGAAAGACTAGGCCGCCATCGGGGTGGACCAGAGCGTGCACGTGAAGCCTGCGGCTCATGACGCGCCTGCGAAGGTGCGCGAAGGAAAGGGATCAGGCAGGTTTGAGGTGGACCCATACTCCTTTCATCGGTGCTGCAGGCCAGACACGAGGGCATGATCGTGAAGGTGTGTCCTTTCACCCCCCCCCGCTATCATGAAGGCCCTCTTCTTCAGCTGAGGGAAGACTTCCGACACGCCAGGGACACCTTTGGTTAAAGCTTTGGAGCAGCCGCGGATCGCGAAAAACATATTGATGGATATGGTACGCAGACGTGCTGCTGAAACGTACGAAGGCCACCTTTCAAAAAAACTTCGAGAGCTCAGCCCCGCGACGTGGTTCTTGCCGCGGTGAGACCTCGTGAGGTCGAGCTCCCAGGATGGAGCGCACACTCTTGAAAGCCTGGAATAGTCAACGTGTGAGACGGGCGGCGAAGGCGCGACCGCGCGTGCAACTCCGTCGTGTTAACGCTGCTCTTGCAAACTCGGCCTCAAGCCTGTGGCCTCGACAACCCCCCCTCGCTGCGCCACGCCGCCAAAGCACACTGCTGACCAGCACAGGGACAAGCACCTCCTCTGCCAAAGGAAAACCACGAGGCTGTTGCTGTGGGGCTTCTATGGGCGGTCGGTCCGCCCCTTCTCTTGCCCATGATCCCGGTCCGCTTGCAGTCATGAATTATTGCTTGGCGCGTCGCGGCGACGGCCCTGGCGAAACGTTGTGCGGGTAGCGCGTCGCTCCGCTCCGCGGGGCGGGAGGCTAGGAATAGCTCGGGGCGTTGCCGATTGGGGACAAGGACGTGATTAGCACATCGCGCCGAAGCTTTGTGCTCCAGAACCGGCGGCACGACACGCGAAGCAAACGTTCCTGACCGTTTCGTTGATCTTGTGAATCTTCTATGGGCCGTCTGCCCGCCCCTTCTCTTACCCGTGACCCCGCTCCGTTCACACCCCGTAACAAAGCCCCAACTCCAATGTGCAGAGTTTCCGTCCACATGCAGGGCTCTGGAGCTCGCGGTGCCCATCTTTTCTAAGTGTGGTGGCGCAGGTGGGCCGTGTCTTCTGTGAGGCTCTGGGCCTCGAGATGGGTCTCCCCAAGCCCAAGCTCAAGAGGGGCGCACCGTCTTGTCTCCAGGGCGCCCAGCGCCTGGGACGCCAAGCCTTCCCCCGGACACCGGCACTGCTTGCAGCGGGCCTGGACCAGCTTCACTCCTCCCCCCCCAGGGCTCCCCAGAACCCCGCGGAACCCCATGGGGCCCCACAGATGCCCTTAGGCCTCCCAGAAACAGCTAAAATTCCCCAGAACCTCGGACCCTCATTGAAAAACCTTATCCTGCTCCTCCTCCTCCTCCTATTCGCACCTCCCCCTTTTCCCTTCTCTCCTTCTCGTCTGCCCCCCCTGCGCTCCGACGTGCTTGAGCCGCAGGACTTGTGCGATCTGCCCCATCACGGACTTCTCCGTAAAATCCAGGTCCTCTGCGTCGGAGAGGGGCGGGGTGGGATGGGCGGGTAAGGAGGAGGCAGAGCGTCGAACAACACCCGATCCGACCACGTTGCGACCACCTTGCCTATAAAATCCCCGTGCTGGGTGGCAAGTTCGGCCACCCTAGCGATCGGCAAACTGCCGTGGAGGCTCACAGTGAGGGGGGAGGGGGACGATAATGAGGGGGACCATGAGGGCGAGGAGGATGACGAGGAAGGGAAAGGAGGGCCAGGTAGGATGCAGGAAGGGAAGGCGGAGGGCATCTATGTATGTGTATGACAGCACACATGCATTTATCTCTTAACCGCTCGACCCAGGCACGCTTGAAGTGCTCAGCGAAGCATCACACAACCACAACCGAGCTGCCATGCTCAAGGTCGGACCATTTTGCTTAGCGTTTCTTTGCGTCGGAACCAGCGACACGCCATGCCCTGCAAGCGGATAGCGATGGATAACGTGTCGCTCCGCTCCGCGGGGTGGGAGGTCGAGACGGACTCGGACCGTTAATGCTCAGAGGCCAGGATCTGGTCAGCGTGTCGCGTCAAAGCGAGGTGGGACACAACCGGCGGAGCGATACGCTAACCCAAAGCTCCCGACCGTAGAATCACCCATCCGTTCCCGCAGTGTCCCGCTCGCCAAAGATCGAGCCTCAGAAAACCCCAAAGCGGTGACATAACAGCCGACTTGATGTTTTCAGGTCACTGGAGGTATGGCGACGAAGGAAGGGGAGATAGGGAAAGGAAAGAAAGACACCCACCTACGGGCGATCCTCGTGCCATCACTGGACGAGGTGAATGACCCCGTAGCTCCTCAGTGCAAGGTGTTCCACTCGCTTTTCTTCCTTTCGCGCCCCTGCTGGGCGTCATGCCTGGGTGTTACTCGGCGGCACCACACGGGAGACGGCGTGCGCTGCCTGACCAACTTCTCGCGATGCGGGCACCCCGAAAGGACGAGACTGCGCAGGAGCCATGTTCCCCCTGCTGCAGGGCAAACTCCCAATTACTCACGCATGTGTATGTGTGTGTCTACAACCCTGTCTGCCCTTGCACCTCCACTGTCGACTCGTGCCACCACCGACTCGATCGCGCCTTCCCTCTTCCCCGTCGGTCCCCCCCCCTCGCCCCCCGCTGGCGGCTGCTACCCCGCGAATCATGTCGAGCGGTCCCCTGTGGGTGGACCCCGCATGCCCCTGCTGCCTCTGAGCTGGCCTCGCGCCCCGCACCCCCTTCGGCCTGAGCCCGGCTCCGCTGCCTGCTGCGCGTGTGGCCTCGACGCCAAACAGTGAATGTGTGTGTGTGGTGGTGCTTGTGTTTCCGTGTGTGCTTGTGTGTGTGTCTGTGAGTGTGTTTGCGTGTGTGAGTGTGTGTACGTGTGTGTGTGTGTGAGAGAGAGGGTGTGTGTGTGTGCGAGAGGGTGTGTGTGTGTGTGCGTGTCTATGTGTGTGTGTGTGTGCGTGTGTGTGCGTGTGTGTGTGTGTGCGTGTGTGAATGTGTGTGTGTTGCGACCCGCTTGCCTCGCTCTTCCTCGCACCTTCGGCCCGCAAAATGCAAGGCGATGCGGCCTCTGCCCCGGCCCTGCGAGGCGGGGACCTTATCCAGACCCATCGCCCAGGGAGCCGATGGAATGGGACCTCCGGGGGCGGTGAATGTATGAACACTGTTTTTTTGACCCCTTGGCCAAAACATGTATACCATACCCACCGACCCCGAATCCCAGGATGATCAGGCCTCTGGACTGTGAACGTGGATTAAAACACCGGGCCTGGGACACAGACATCCGGCGCCGTGACTTTCGCCACAACGCGTCTCCCAGAAACCTCGACCCATCTCCTCGGGACGGGCTTTGCACCATCGGCCGCTGTCTTTACAGCCCCAGGGCTTGGCGAGGGCCCCCGAAACTTGAAAACGCCGACAGACCGTCCATCGCGATGCCCATTTCATAAAATGTTCGTCTAGAAGGGACGGGGCGCCCTCGACTGCCCAGTCGGGCAACCGTGTCGCCTCAGACTTCTTCACTGCTCAGGAGCCGTGCTCTCGCCTCCACGTGTCAATCCAGACGGCCACGCTTCCTGGCACAAGTTATAATAAGGTGCACACTGGCCGTCTCTCACCCCGTGCCCCGGCTGCATCTACTCTTGCTCAGTGTTTCCTGGCCGCGCTTGCCCTACTCCTTGACCGCCGTCCTTCATTTTCTGCTGGTCCCAAACCCCCGACGCCGTGTTTTCTCACAACGTCGACCCCCAGAGGCCGTACCCCTTCACCTGGACCTGTTTTGTTCCTAACCATCCTGTGGTGTTGGGTCATCGATTTTTTGAAGAGACGGCGCCCCGCGTTTTCCTCCTCCCGCCTCGCTCCTCCCCCTCTTCCCTCCTCCGCCTCCTTGCCTCTGCCCTCCGCATGTATCTGTTTCGGCACACCCCTCACACGTTTCGTGGCCCCATAGGGAGCTCTACCGAAGGCCCCAGTGGCAGGGTTCGCATGCGTTTCCACCCATCATTTCGGCTCACACCTCACACGCTTCGTGACCCCATGGGGAGCTCCACCGAAGGCCCCAGTGGCAGGGTTCGCATGCGGCTCCACCCCTCAGTTCGGCTCACCCCACACACACTTCGTGACCCCATAGGGAGTTACACCGAAGGCCCCAGTGGCAGGGTTCGCTTGCGGTACCGCCTTTCTTTTCGGCTCACCCCTCGCGCGCTTCGTGGCCCCCTAGGGAGCTCCACCGAAGGCCCCAATGGCATGGTTCACATGCGGTTCCACTCGAATTCGGCATGCCCTCACACGTTTCGTGGCCCCGTAGGAGGCTCCACCGAAGGCCCCAGTGACAGGGTTCGCATACGTTCCACCCCCAAATGTCAGCACACCCCTCACACGTTTCGTGGGCACATCGAGAACCCCACATAGTTTCCCAATGGCAGGGTTCGCATGCAGTTCCACCTTCGTTTCAGTACACCCCTCACACGTTTCGTGGCCTGATAGGGAGCTCCACCGAAGGCCCCGATGGCAGGGTTCGCGTGCGGTTCCACCCCCATTCCAGCCCATCCCTCACACGTTTCGTGGTCCCATTCCGCCGAAGGCCCCAGTGGCAGGGTTCGCATGTAGTTCCACCCCCATTTCGGCACACCCGCCGCACGCTTCGTGGCCCCGCAGGGAGCTCCACCGACGACAATACTCACAACTGCGGCACCAACAACTGCACATGGTGAGGTCGTGTCTGTCGTTCTTGCCACGGGCCCCAAAGCCTGGCACAGGCCCCAGGAGGCCGCGCAAATGCATGCCCCGCGTGCCGTGGGAAAGGCCCGCTCCGCGGCCCAGGGAGAACGCCGCCCCCCAGCCGCGGGCTGCGGCGCCCGAGGCGCGTCGCCTCGACGCGCGTCGCAGCGGCGCTCGAGGCGCCAGGGGCGCGAAGAGCCCCGGGGCGCCGGCGGGCGGGACAAGACGCAGCGCGCGGCCACAAACGTGGGCCGCGTGCGCGCCAGGAGGGCCGCACGGCGGCCCCGAGCGCACGAGAAGCGGGCGCCGACCGCGCACGGCCGCGCGCGGCGGAGCAGGCGGCGGCGGGGAGACGGCTCCCCCGCCGATGCCGCTGCCCGGCCAGGAGGCCAGCGGCCGCACATGTGAAGGGGCCCTGGGACACACAAATAAATATACACAAATGACAGGATTCCCCATATTAACATATATTTTCTGGGTTTTTGTCTTCCCCCCCACTCCCCATATTTTCCCATATTTTCCTAGGGATCGACGATAAATTGTGTCTGTGTGTTTTTTCCCCGCCTGAACATGGGCGGAACCGCGGACGAGAGTGTGGCGGAAGGCCAGGAGCGGCAGGCGCACGAGCAGAGCAGCACCAGCACCCCTCCCTGCCCCACGGCCCAGCACCCCGACCCCCCCCCCCCGCCCCACGGGCGAGGGCAGGGGAGCAGGGCCTACGCAGGAGCAGCAGTCGTGCCAGCACACAAACGCTGCGACAGTGCGAGCACCGTCCCCGCGCTTGTGTGCTCATGAAAAGATGGCGAAGAGCCTCACGTCGCGATGTTTGTTCACCACGCGAGGGGGTCCGGGCTGTCGGGGTGCTCCGATGGGTCTTATTCCTGCACGGCGCGAGCACGCCTTCTTGTTCTGAACGAGCGGAAGATGGGAGCGGACAGCGAAGATATACACGACTCCTGCTCGTAGCCAGGCTGCCCTGCGAACGTGGTCGAGGCTCAGGCCAGGGATTCGTGCAAAAACAGGTTCGGCCACGCCGCGAGCACGTTGCTGCTTGCTGCAGGGGCCGGCTTGGGCGGACAAATCCTGCCCCCCCTCCTCCTCCTCCTCCTCCCCCCCTCCCCCCCTCCCCCTCCTCCTCCTCCTCCTCCTCCTCCTCCTCCTCCTCCTCCTCCTCCTCCTCCTCCTCCTCCTCCTCCTCCTCCTCCTCCTCCTCCTCCTCCCTCCTGGACAGACGGGCGCCGACCATCGACGCACGGCGCGAGCACGTCACAGGGCGGGGGCACGTGGCGCCGCGACGGGCGCGGCGGCGCCTGCTCCTCGGGCATGTCCAGCGAGTCCTGCGGCGGCGCCCCCCCCTCCCCCGCGGCGGGCCGAAGGGCCGCGGGCCGAGGGCGGGCCCGCGGACCGCGGCAGGGCGAAGATCGGGCCGGGCGAAAGGGGGGGATGGCAGAGGGGCTGTTTGAGGAGAAGCAGCTCACGAGAGGGCCCCTCCCCTCCCCTCCCTCCCCTCCTCTCCAATCTCGGGTCGGGCGGGAGGGGAGGATGGCCCTCCCCTCCCCTCCTCTCCAATCTCGGGTCGGGCGAAAGGGGGGGATGGCAAAGGGGCTGTTGGAGAAGCAGCTCACGTGGCTGCTCTTCCCGGCGCCTCCCGGCGCCGGGAGGCGCCCATATGTGTATCGAGGGATGGGCCCGGCGGCGGGGCCGAAACCAGCTCTGCATGCAGCAGATTTCGCACCCCCCCCCTCTCCCAATCCCCGGGCCCGTTCCGTCCGGCCCCGAGAAGAAGAGGCGAGCGGGACCCAGACCCCCTCGCGCTGTGGCAAAAAAAGATCGTGACGGGATGCTTCTCGTGATCTGCGGTCTCCCGGGGCCCTTGCCGATCTCGGGGCCGTCGAAAAAACGACTCGGGATGGAAACCCGGTCTCGGCAAAAGGGTCCAGAGCTCTGTAGGGGTCGAGAGTAAGGAAACAACGCGACGTCGGGGGTCCCGGGGAGGGCCCTCGTACTTTTGAGCTGGAGTGGTGGGCCTGACGCGGAGGGGCCCGCGGGAAGAGGTGAAGCAGCAGTTGCTTGCAGCTTGGTGCCTGGAGAAAGCATTCTGCGCGCCGGCTGCAGCGGCTGCGCGTGGATGCGGCTGTCTGCAGTAGGAGCTCGACCACAAGGAACCTTCCACGAGAAACCCAGCCCTGAGACCCCAGGACGCCCACCGATTTGTGGTGCGGGAACGTCGCGCTCTCCATCGCAAACCCATCGAAACCCATCGAAGACACAGGGCGCCCCGGAGGCAAGCAGGGCGTTCCCTGGCATGGGCTTCCACTGCGTGGCGCTTTTGTGGCACAGGCGGCGGCGCCCGTGCGCTCGCGCTCGCGCCCCCCCCCCTGGCAATGCGTGCGTGCTGGCGCAGGCGACGAGGACAGATTCATGGACTGCACCTGTCGCCGCCGACCCGTCTGCGCCAGGCCCACTGCAGCCAAGACGTGTATTGCGGACGGGCGGTAAGGACGCAAGACCCTTGGAAGCCGAAGTCGGGAGTTTTCGGGCGGCGGGCGACCCGTGAGAGCGGCAAGCGGGCCGCAGATGCAAGGACACCAGGGTACCCTAGATGAAGGCGCGCGTCCTTACTAGGCGCGCTGACTGTATAACCTGCAGCTTCGAGTGCTGGAACGGGGAGCGCCGAGCCCAAACCTTCGACGATGTGACGATGTGAGTTTCTGGCGTTCGTTCATCGATTGCGGCCCGTCGCCCTCGCTCCCTCCCCCCCTTCCTCCCGCCTACTCCTGCTTGCTGCTACTGCTCCTTCTCCTCCTCCTCCTCCTCCTCCTCTTCCTCCTCCTCCTCCTCCTCCTCCTCCTCCTCCTCCTCCTGTCCTCCTGCTCCTCAACGCCGTGGGGTGGGGGGCCACGCTGCCCAAGTCAGCGAGCCACGCGATGCAGAGCCCCGATGTGTTCTTCTCCAGTCCCAAATTTGTTAATCGATTTCGGCCTCCGGACGCTCCTGGGCCCCAGGGCCAACAAAAATGGATCGTCCAAAACCCGGGTAGCGGAGCAGTCCAGGACGCGTGAAAGCCTGTGGGAGACCCCTGCAAGAACGCTTGAAAGGACTTGTGGCGTCCAAAGCCCGGATAGCGCATCAAACTAAGACGCGTGAAAGCCTGTGGGAGCTGCTTGCAAGATAGCTTGAAAGGATGTGTGAGGAGCTTGCAAGCTCGAGGAAAGAGCTTCGAAGGAGCTCAGGAAGGGCTGCGAAGGAGCTGCGCAAAGGCTTCCAGCACGCGCATTGGGAACGAGTCGGACAGCGCTTCTGGGACACGCTACAAGTTCAAACAACCCGCAGCGGGGATCCCTGCCCGGCGCCAGAGCGAGCTCCGAGACTACCCTGCGCTGTCCGCTTCTATTCTGAAACCCTCCTAGCTCTCTACGAGCTATCCGGGAATGTCTGGGGAACTTCCAAGCTCGAGAAAGGAGTTTCGCAGGAACTCAGGAAGCTCTGCGGAGGAGCTGCGGAAAGGCGGGCAGCAGACGTAATGGGATCGAGCCAGAAAAATGCTTCCGGCACAGGCTGCAGGTTCCGGCGCCAGAGAGAGCTCCAGCGCTACCCTGCGCTGCCGGCCTAGCTCTCTCTACGAGCTAGCAGGAGAACAGCCAGCCTCGGCCCCGAACACGTCAACCACGACCCAGATCCGAGGAGAGACTCTGAGGCCAGGGCCCCTCCTGAAGCCAGTGGTCCATAGTTACCTCAGCGTCTTGACCGTACAGCCGGACGCAAGCCAAAAGAACAGCCCTCAAGAACACGAGACCCTCCTCCGGCCAAATTGAAGAACACTCGAGGGCACCCTCCCCCCAGGATGCACGAAAACGTCCAACAAGCACGAAGAACATCAGGGGACCCTCCCCGAACCAACCTCGACCTTGCACCTCGGGCCGACCGTATCTCAGCGTCTTGACCGTGGCCTGTGCCGAGGGCCCCCGGGGTGAGGCGCACAGGAGGCCCCAGGGTCGAGCTGGACGGATTGCGCAGGCACGTCCGCCGGAGGTCTGGCCCCGTGCATCGAGGAGGCGCGGCGCAGAGGCACGCGTGGAGCGGCAAGGGTCCCCGTGGACCCGCCGGGCCGGAGGAGGGCGGGGGGGCGAGGGGGCGAGGGGAGTGGCGAGGAGGGCGGCGACGAGGACGAGGAGGGGCAAGAGGCCGGGAGCAGGGCAAGGGAGTGGAGATGGGGCGAGGGCGGGGGCGGGGAGGAAGAAGAGGGCGCGCCGGACGGGCAGCACGGTCCAGCCGGGCAGAGCTCGAGAAAGTGTCGACACGCTGGACAGAGCATGCGGAACCGCAAGCTCCACAAGCAGGACGGCAGACACGGGCTCCCGCACGCGGCGTCTGCAGCGTCCAGGGCGCAGGGTGCCGGCCTCCGCCCGGGCCGCGGGCCAGACCGAGAGAGCCGCGCCGAGGGAAGGGGGAACGGGGGGCGAGAGCGAGGGAGGAGGGGAGAGGGTCGGTGATCGCCCCGAGATCCCGGCGTGGCCATCTGTCCACGCCGGGCGGGCCCTCGGGGCCCTGGCGGGTCGACCCCGCTCGAGAAAAAGGGCCCCAGAGGAGCGCGGTCTGGGGTCTCCGGGTCCCGAGTCTTCGCCGTGGTTCCACAGGGAGGCGGGAGGGGAAGCGCGGCGGGAGGCACTGCAGCCCGCCGCCTCACCCCCGTGGCCGCCGCCTTGCCCAGCAGGCCTGGGGCCTGCGGATGTGGGGCAGGGAGGCGCCTCGTGGGCGCCCGGGCGCCTGCCCCCAGGAGCCGCCGCGCGTGGCCGGCGAGATGCCCGGGCTCCTCTCGCCCTTGTCTGCGGCTTCGTCGGCGGCGGCTGCGCCTCCTCCTCTTCCTCCTCCTCCTCCTCCTCCTCCTCCTCCTCGTCCTCCTGCTCCTGCTCCTCCTCCTCCTCCTCCTCCTCCTCCTCCTACTCCTCCTCCTCCTCCTCCTCCTCCTGCTGGAGGAGAGGAGAAGAGAAAGAGAAAGAGAGAGAGAGAGAGAGAGAGAGATCGTAGGGGAAGGGCGGGGGCCTGCTTGGACGATCGGGCCAGGTTCGCGGGCGCAAGCCTGAGAGCGGAAGGGAAGGGACGAAGCAGGCTGCGCCCCACAAAGACAAAGGTGAACATGGCGCGCAGCCTGCGCATGCGCTTTGACTACCATGCGAAATGCGTGGACGCAGCTCCTCAAACGCCCGTGTTATCCTCCTCCTCCTCCTCCACATCCTCCTGCTCCTTATCCGTTTTCGTTTCCCTCCTTTAGCGTGCAAAGCAGCAGCATCCCTGACCCTGATTCCATAAACGAGACAACGAAACTTTTGGGGGCTAGCGCCCCAACGTCAAGCTGTGTTTTTGCCACGGTCATGGTAGTTGCCCCAAAACTGGACTCCGAATGATCCGCCGAGCCACCGGGAAGTAGGGGCGGTTGCAACAGGATGAGGAGCTGTCCCCACCAGCGATGGTGAACTTGATCGGGTCGCACGTCATACCCAGGTCCTCCAGCATCTGTTCCTTGACATTGAAGTGCCAGTCCTGATCGCGCGCTGCCGCCTCCTCTCCCCTGGCCTCGTCCTCCTCATCCCTCTCCTGCTCCTCAACCACCTCACTATTTCCACCGCTTCCCTCATGCGAATCCTCCTCATCCTCAGCGTAATCCTCCTCTGCCCCACCCTTCTGGTACTCACGTGGTCCAATCTAGCTCCAGACCATTCTGAGACTCCAGACCATCCTGAGACCAAATCTAGCTCCGACTTGTACTCCTCCGCGTCCTCCTTCTCCTCCTCCTCCTCCTCCTCCTCCCTCCTCCTCCTGTTCCGCCTGCTGGAGGAGAAAAGACAGAGAGAGAGAGAGAAATCGTAGGGGAAGGGCGGGGGCTTGTTTGGACGATCGGGCCAGGTTCACGGGGGATCGGACACCCAGCACTGCGCAGCACTCGGGCGCAAGCTCCTACTCTCGCTCCTCCTCTCCCTTCCTCCCCCAGGTGTTCCCCCGAAATGTGTCCGCAACGGCTCGCAGTAGCTTGGTAAGACTTCGGCCCACCGTTTGGCTACAAAGGCGATCCCAAAATACAGGGAATGGCGGTGCTTCGCTGTGAGCGTGTTCGATATGCAACTGCTGCACGGAGGGCGGCCAATGTTGCGAGTTGAGGCTCTCGCTTGACAACTCCTCAAATTCAACGAAAAAGAAAAAAAGCCCGAGGGCTTCCGGGAAGTCCCGTCGCCTTCTGCGAAGGCCTTCTCCTTCTCGCTCCACCCCCCGCTCGCCGCCGAGCACATTGTGTGTGCGTCGGCCATGTTTTCTCGCTCGATCCTCCTCTCTCCTGCCCACCCTGCTCATCCTCGCCCTGGCTGGCCGGCCAGCTCCTCCTCCTCGTCCGAGGGCGCGAACTCGAGCTCCACCGCGGACTCCCCGAACTCGTTGCGCATGTGCCTGCAGGGCGGGGGGGAGAGCAGGCGGAGAGAGCGCCAGTTCGGGGGGGGGAGGCTCGGTGCGCGCTCTGGGGACCCTCCCGGAGACACCTGCGCCAGTGGTGCGTCGAAGCTGCGTCGGACGTCCGTCGATCTGAGCCGACCTCGAGCCGAACCTGGATCGAACCTGCGTCGAGCCTGAGCCGAACTTGAGTCGCACTCGAATCGCGCTTGGCTCGAACTGGGGTCGGAGTGGAGACGAACAGATCCGCCAGGTGGGCCCCAGGAAGGTCACCCAAACGAGCATCTAGAGGAGGAGGAGCCGTGACGCTGCGGGCGAGCGCCCCCCACTGCGGGCCCAAGGATAAAAACTAAGCCACGCATGTGTGGCTGTGCCTGCCGGTTTGGGTCGGGTCGGGGAAGGGCAGGTCCTCCTCCTCCTCCTCCTCCTCCTCCTCCTCCTCCTCCTCCTCCTCCTCCTCCTCCTCCTCCTCATGGGGCAAAGGAGGCCTATCATGTCATGCGTAATCAAAATAGAGGAGCTGCGTACATAGGAGGAGTAGGTGGCGGTTGGCCAGCAGGATGAGCAGGAGGAAAAGGAGGAGGAAGAGGAGGAGGAGGAGCATGTGGAAAGAGAAAGACGAAGACGAACAGCAGCAGAAGCAGGAACGGGAGCAGACGGAACGGGAGGAGCAGGAGGACCAGGAGAAGGCGGAGGAAGGGCGGCGAAGGACATTCCTGTATGAAAAACACTACGCGGAGCGAACTGGCTATTTCCCCGACGGGGCCAGGGGAGAGAGGAGAGTCGCAGTCAGAATATGTACTTGTACAAGTAGGGGTGGGGTTCTTGCAAGCTGCTGTGCGCCCGTCGTTTTTTCCCCCAAACAGTGCTTGCACTGAGGGGTTCTTGCGACTCTTTTAAGGAACTGGGCCTGTCTGCCGCTCTGGCGGCTATGTGGCCGCCGACGCCGCCCCGTCGCCGCATCGTCTCCGCCCGTCGTCTGGGCCTGTCCGGTGCCGCCCCGTCGCCGCATCGTCGCCGCCCGTCGTCTGGGCCTGTCTGCCGGTCTGGCGGCTATGTGGCCACCGTCACCGCCCCATCGTCGCCCTAGATTCTCCTTTCAAAAAAAAAAAAGTCTACCCCCCCCCCACCCGGCGTTATCCTAAATATGAAATCACAATGTCCCAGGCCAACCGGGTTCCCCCCCCTGAGGGTCCCTTGTAAAAAACTATTCGGTGACAGTTTTTGCTCTAACATCACAATTGTTCGCGAATCCCTGGCAAAAAATGAGACGAAGTGCACACGCGCGCGTCGTCGCGCGCGCATGCCGAAATCCTTCAAACGTGCGGGAGGGATTTCGCAATCGAGTTTCCCAAAAAACATACAAAAACACAAAATTTCGCAACACGGATTTGCTAAAAAACTTCCGCGAAAGCTCTTGCGTAATCTTAAGAAAACCATGCGTTTTCCAAGATTTCAGGATGGTTCCAGAACCGAGCCGAACCGGCCGAAGCGAACCGGCGCGAACCCGTGTTTTTTGTCAATGGGAACCGAACCGAACCGGAAAATTACGACACCGAACCGAACCGAACCGAACCGGGACTCCGAACCGGACCGAACCTCCCCCCGCCGAACTGGCCCGAAATGGACCGAACCGGAGCGAACGGGAAAACTGGCCACGGAGGGAGGAGGAGGGAGGAGGACCGGCGGCGACGACGACGATGACGATGACGGGGTTTGGAGCCCCTTTGGGGCCCCTATGCGGGTTTGGGGCCCCTTTGGGGCCCCTTTGGGGCTCCTTTGGGGGTTGGGGCCCCTTTGGGGCCCCTTTTGCGGGTTTGGGGCCCCTTTGGGGGCCCTTTGGGGCCCCTATGCGGTTTTGGGGCCCCTTTGGGGCCCCTTTGGGCCCCGGCCCCTTTGGGGGTTTGGGGCCCCTTTGGGCCCCTTTGGGGCCCCTATGCGGGTTTGGGGCCCCTTTGAGGGGTTGGGGGCCCTTTGGGGCCCCTTTGGGGCCCCGAGCGGCGGAGGCCAGCTCCTTGGGTCGGAACCGCTCCTCGACGGCGATCTGGTCGGAACCGGACCGCACCGGAACAGGAACCGGTCCGAACCGGAAAAAAAAAATAAACGTACCGAACCGAACCGAACCGGAAGATTACGACACCGAACCGAACCGAACCGGAGGCGCTTCGGAACCGAACCGAACTGAACCGAACCGGAACTTTCCTGAGATTTTCACAAAATGCTACCAAACGGGCTTCGCGCGCGCTCATGTCGAAATCTGTCGAACGCCCTTGCGCGTGTGCCGTCGCGAGAATCCCCTGCAAAAAAAAAGAGACGAAGTGCAGACGCGCGCGTCGTCGCGCGCGTATGCCGGAAACCTTCAAAACCCATCGGTTTCTGAAGGATTTCAAAATCGTGTGTCCAAAAAACCTACAAAACAACCCAAGGTTTCGCAACACGGATTTTCAACAAAAGCGTGCGCGCGCGCTCTTGCGTCGTCGTCGTCGTCGTCGCCGCCCTCCCTCCTCCCGCGTCGTTGTCGTAGCCGTCGTCGCCTACGCCGTCCTCTGTCTTTCCTCGTGTTCGTCGTCGTCGTCCTCTTTGAGGTCGTGGTCGTTTCCGTCGTCGTTGTCGCCGTGGTCGTCCTTCCTCATCCTCCCTCGTCGTCGTCGTCCGTCGTCGGTGTCTCGTCGTCGTCCCTCCTATTTCGTCGCCGTCGTCGTCGTCGTCGTTGTCGTCGTCGTCGTCGTTTTCCCTCCTCCCTCGTCGTTGCCGTCGTCGGCGTCGCCGTCCTTCCTCCTTCTTCGTCGTTCGCGTCGTCGCCGTCCTCCCTCCTCCCTCGTCGTTGTCGTCGTTGTCGTCGTTGTCGCCGTCGTCGTCCTTCCTCCTCCCTCGTCGTCGCCTTCGTTGGCGTCGTCGTCGTCGTCGTCTTCGTCGTCGTCGGCGTCGTTGTCGTCGTCGAAGTCGTCGGGGACGTCGTCGGTGTCGTCCTAGTCGTTGTCGTCGGTGTCTTCGTAGTCGGTCTTAACAGGTTTTGCAAACCATGACGACTTCAAGTTCAGCAGAGTGGATTGCACAACATAGATTCTCCTTTCTAAAAGATTAATAGATTCTCCCCCCCTCCCCCCCCCCGGACTCATCGGCTCCCCCTGGGATAATATGATTATCATATATATATATATATATATATATATATATATATATATATATTCTGCACAGTCGTCCATCCTGAATATGAAATCATACCATCCCAGCCAAACCGGGTTTCCCGCCCCTGAGGTCATTTTTTCAAAAAACAAACTATGCGGTGACATTTTTTGTTCTAACATAACGCTGTTTCGCGAAACCCTTGCAAAAAAAAGAGCACGAAGTGCACACGCGCGCGTCGTCGCGCGCGCATGCCGAAATCCTTCAACAAAAAAAAACAAAACATACAAAAACCCATGGTTTCGCCACATTGATTTGCTAAAAAAGCTTACGCGCGAGCTCTTGCGAAATCTTAAGAAAACCATTGTTTTTTTTTTTTTGAGATTTTCACAAAATGCTACCAAACGGGCTTCGCGCGCGCTCATGTCGAAATCTGTCGAACGCCCTTGCGCGTGTGCCGTCGCGAGAATCCCCTGGAAAAAAAGGACGAAGTGCAGACGCGCGCGTCGTCGCGCGCGTATGCTGAAATCCTTCAAAAATTTTGGTTTCGGAAGGATTTCAAAATCGTGTGCCCAAAAAACCTACCAAGACACAAGGTTTCGCAACACGGATCTTCAGCAAAAGCACGCGCACGCGCTCTTGCGTCGTCGTCGTCGTCCTCCTTCCTCCCTCGTCGTCGTCGTCGTCGTCGCCGTCGTCGCTTTCTGTCTTTCCTCGTCGTCGTCGTCGTCTTGGCGTCGTCGTCGCTTCGGTCGTCGTTGTCGCCGTGGTCGTCCTTCCTCCCTCGTCGTCTTCGTCGGCGTTTCATCGTTGTCCCTCCTATTTCGTCGCCGTCGTCGTCGTCGTCGTCGTCGTCTTCACTCCTGCCTCGTCGTTGTCCTCCTCCCACGTCGTCGTCGTCGTCCGTCGTCGGCGTCGTCGTCGTCTTCGTCGTCGTTGTCGTCGTCGTCGTCTTCCCTCCTCCCTCGTCGTTGTCGTCGTCGGCGTCGCCGTCCCTCCTTCTTCGTCGTTCGCGTCGTCGCCTTCTTCCCTCCTCCATCGTCGTTGTCGTCGTTGTCGCCGTCGTCGTCCTCCCTCATCTCTCGTCTTCGTTGGCGACGTCGTCGTCGTCTTCGTCGTCGTCGTCGTCGTCTTCGTCGTCGTCGACGTCGGCGGTGTCGTCGTAGTCGGTGTCGGCGGCGCCGTCGTCGTCGTTGTCGCTGTCGTCGTCGTCGTCGTCGGTGTCGTGGCCAAATGCCATGTGGTACCTACCGTCACGGTCTTGTCTTAAGAGGTCTTGCGACCAAGGTGCGGGTGAGAGGGTGGGATGTTTGCACGAGCAGTAGAGAGGACAGCTTCAAGACGGTCAAAGTGAACTGCACCGCATATATTGCACCACAAATATTGCACTGTATAGAGTGCACCATAAAGATTGTACCACATAGCTTGCACAACATGGGTTGCACCGCATGGGGTGCACAACGTGGTTTATATATACATATATATATATATATCTATAATACCTACACATATATATATGTATATATGTATATGTCCGTAAATATACATATATATACATATGTGTGTGTATATCAAAGTGCGGGGGCTGAACCGAACAGTCAATCACTGTCCCTGGGTGCGTGGCTGAGGTGGAATTCCGCGATGCGGCTTCTCGTTGTTGTTTGTTGTTTGTTGTTTGTTGTTGTCGTCGTCCCACCCGCGACCAGCCCCGCGACCCACCCGCGACTCACCCCGCGACCCCCCCGCGACCCACCCACGACCCAAACCGCGCCCGCGACCCATTCGCGACCCACCGCGACCCACCCGCGACCCACCCGCGACCCACCCCGCGACCCACCCCAAATGTTCGGCGCCTGCGGCGCGGTTCTTTGCATTCGTTCAAGGTGGAGAGCCCGCGACACATCCGCGACCCAAACCGCGCCCGCGACCCACTCGCGACCCACCGCGACCCACCCGCGACCCACCCGCGACCCACCCCGCGACCCACCCCAAATTTTCGGCGCCTGCGGCGGGCTTCTTTTGCATTCGTTCCAGGTGGAGAGCCCGCGACCCACCCGCGACTCAAACCGCGTTCAGTGTACAAATCAACATTTTCGGCGCCTGCGGCGGGATGTTTTTGAATTCCTTCCAGGTGGAGGTGGAGAGCCCGCGACCCACCCGCGACCCAAACTACGTTCACTGAACAAGCCAAAAATTCGGCGCCTGCGGCGGGCTTCTGTTGCATTCGCTCCAGGTGGAGAAACTTCGACCCAAACCGTGTTCAGTGTACACATCAAAATTTTCGGTGCCTGCGGCGGGCTGTTTTTGAATTCCTTCCAGGTGGAGGTTGAGAGCACGCGACCCACCCGCGACCCAAACTACGTTCACTGAACAAGCCAAAAATTCGGCGCCTGTAGCGGGCTTCTTTTGCATTCGTTCCGGGTGCCCCCCGCGCTGAACTTGTCAGAGCACGCAGGGTCGACGTCATGAACAAAAACCAGGACGTTGGGAGTCTGGCCCCAGCAAGTGGCTGGCACAGAATTTCAAGCCTCAGCCCGCGGCGAGACAACATGAAGGGGGACCGATCCCCCCGACGCCCTCCCCGTGACTGCGGTGGAGCCAAGGGGAAGGGGGGGGGCGGCACGCCCGCAGCTCCGTAACCGCGCGGCCCGCGGGAAGCCAGAGGTGGCCTTGCGCAGCGTCCAGCCGCGGCAAGGGCGCCCGCGCCGAGGTGTTCGTGGCCTGTCGTTGTCATGTCCCAGCGGCCGCTGCGGACTAGGAGAAGGAGGCGGAGGCGTAGGAGTAGAAGGAGGAGGAGGAGGTGGAGAAGGAGGAGGAGAAGGAAGAGGATGAGGAGGATAAGGAGAAGGAAGGGGAGGAGGAGGAGGAGGAGGAGGGAAGGAGGAGGAGGAGGAGGAGGAGGAGGATGAGGAGGAGGAGGAGGGGGAGGAGAAGGATTAGGGGGAGGAGGACGAAGAGGAGGAGAAGGAGGATGATGATAATGATGAGGAGGAGGAGGAGGGACGAGGAGGATGAGGACGACGAGGAGGACGAGAAAGAGGAGGAGGAGGAGGAGGAGGACGAGGAGGCACCGCCAAACCGAAACGAGCGCGCAGAGCAGCAACACAAACAACGAACGAACATGACAAGTGACGAGCACGCGCAACTCGACGGGAAACAGAACATAACCTGAGGAAGCGAATTATCTAAGACGAAGCCCAAAACGGGCATCGCCCGTATAAAGAAATGGACGGGGGCCCCCTTCCATGGTGGGGCGACGAGGCACGGCGGATGAGGAGAATGTGTATTGCTTTTGTTGTGTTTCTCCCCTTCACCCTCTCCGAAAGACACGCTGAACAAACTGCCGATGAGGAGCATGAGGGCGGAACCGGGGAGCGCCGGAGACTGAGCGCCCGTACCAACACGACGAAGACATCCACGTCGCCCGTGCTTGATGGCCGGGTGCAGCCGCCCGCTGAAAGACCAAACGCAGAGGGAAACGAAATAAGCTCCTTCCAGGCGAAGGAGGAATGCCACGCTCGCCTTATGGTGTTCCTGTCATACTCGGGAACCACATCGGGGAAACAGCTTCAAGCACCCCGAACAGTGTCGAAACAGTGTCTGCCCGACACGCTGGCGAAGTGCCGAGCGAGTATCGCCTCCCAAGGTCGGACACGTGAAAACCGTCAAGTGTCGATACTGTCTTCATGCTCGAAATTCATTCTGTTGGTCAAGGCTAAGGTAGGTTGGAAACTCATAACGCCCATCATCTGCCCAGGGCTTCGGAATCAACGTCGGCACGAACCCACATTTCACAATTTGCGGAGGGCCCAGCCACTTCGATGTGCGAACTGCGGCGGAGCGAGCACGGCGTAGCGCGCGTCAGCCCAAGTGCAGAACGCAAGAGTGCCGCCGCACCCCAAATCCTGAAACGGTTTGGTGAACAATGAGGGGGGACGTGAGGGGGGGGACTGGCTCAGAGGGGGGCAAACATCGACCTGTAATCGGCGATACATCGCCGATAGATCGGCGATGAGCCCCCGACGGCGAATCCGCACGCTCCTTGGCGGAATGGGCTATCGGGCCCCGATCGGCGAACACTGGACGACTGGGGGCCGATGCATCTCCCTTAGGCCTGTCCCCCCGAACGTTGTCCCTGATGTGAATTCCTAACCGAAGCCGGCGTGGCGTTTATCGCCTATGCGGGCTCACTACAGGCGGCGGCGATATCAAAAGCTTGCGGTGTCTGTGGTTTGTGGGATCGCATGCGGTTCGAACGCGGGGTTCAGCGCGCATGTGCATTTGCATGCTGTATCTACCCTGCGCAGGCTTCGACATGTGTGCCGCTTATGAACCTTACGTGCCGCGCGCCTTCGCATCAGTTGGGCTTGGCAGGCTGCAGCCAGTCCACAGCGGGAGCAAATATTTCATCACAAACACGCGCGGCGCACTAGCAAGAGCACTGCTTCGCCAACGACTTGGCCGACAACATGGCCTTGCTGCTGGCGGCAGAGCGAACATAATAGTGTTCCGCGTCGAAGCGCGATCGCAAGTTCCAGGAATCACCTGCGGGGCACCTGGATGAGAGCGTGAGTTCGCACTCCTCCAGGTTGCGCCCTAGCATCATACGGCTTGGAGTGAAAACGCATGCACCGCGCCTAAGACGAAATTCAACTGTCGTTCAATACATTGCGCGGCGCTGCGACGAGAACGACATTGCGCATGTTCGCGCGCAATGCGCGCCACGTCCCATTCCTGCCATGCATGTTTCAACGCTGGCGGTAAAACGCCCAGGTTAAAATAACAGACATATACGGCGGATTTTCTATACCCGATGGGCAGAGTGTAACGTCCCGCTGAATGTAGATAGGAGTGTTATGGCAAATCAGGGGTAGGAAGCTGGACCTGAGGAAGGGCTGATAGCAAGATCACGACCAGAGGCGCGAAATGCATTGGCAACGCCTAGTGACAAGCCAGTCGTCGGGACACGTAGAAGCAGGAGGAGATTGAGAAGCAGGGCGCGACACGAATGGACAACAAAGTCCTGGGCAGAAGGAGATAGATCACCAAGCAGGGCGAGCAAGGAACAAGAACAACAACGTCGAACTGCACGGCGACAATGCAAGTAGCAGAGTCGCGCCGAGGAACGAAGCCAAATGTCTCGATGTACTTGCCGGGGAAGTCCTTGCGCAAGTAGCGGTAGGACAACTCCTGCCGATGCCCCCCCCTACCGAATTTTCCCGGCATCGAAGTTCACGCAGACGGAGACTGTGCTCTCCAAAACGGCATCCAACCGTGCACACCTGCGCTTGCGTTACACACAGCCATGCCCCACCGCGATTTCAGCACGGCAGGTTCGCACAACAAGCCTGGCCCACGAAACTCCCAGACTCTCCGGGAACTCTTATGGGTGTGCTCTCGGGGCGCGCGGCGTCGGCCTCCGGCACGGTGGGCCCACCAGCAGCAGCCCGAGCCGAGGAGCGCCCAAGACGGCCGAGAGCCTCCCGAGAAGCGCACAAGACGGACGGGAAACGCCGAGAGCCTCCCGAGAAGCGCCCAAGGCGGCCCAATAGAGAGCGCCGACGCGGCCCTGTGAAGGCCACCCGTGCTGGATGCGATGCGGCCGCAGAGGCCCACGGTGCGCCCAGGTACGCGCCCCGAGCAGGCTCCCGGATGCCGCCGCTTGGCCGCAGGTGAACGCCGCCTGCCAGCGGCACGGTGCCCGAGCGCGTCTCTTCTGTGCCACGGCACCGTCCTCCTCGCCACGTCGTGCCCCTCCTCCGGGAGGAAATTGCGGACAGGTGGGAGAGGCCGCACCCGACAGGGACGCGGCCGAGCTGGGTATTCAGTCTTGGCACATTCTCGCAGTCCTTCCTCTCATCCGTCCCCTCCTCCGCCTCGTCCACCTTCCCCCCGTACTCATCTTCTTCCCCGTTCTCTTAGCATCATCCCCCTCCACATCCTCCTCTACTGCGGCGCCGTCCTCCCCTTTCCAGGGAGGAAGGCAAGTCCTCGCTGGGATAAATCGTCTGCGTCGCCACCAGCGTTAACGCCTCAGGCACCTTCTTGACGTCCGCACCGAATCCCATGATGCCTCCCTCGGTCCTGTGCGGGGGGCGTGACGAAGAAGGGGAGGATGGGAAGGGGATGCGGAGATGCAAAAGAGGAGTGGATGGGAAAGACTGAAAGCAGCAAAACCTTGCACCAGCAATGGCTCCCAACTTCGCGCTTCGCGCTGCGTGAAGCGCGAAGTGCGAATGATTTCGCGCTCTCGCGTCGCCTCCCAGGGGGGAAGAGGATGATGAGGAGGAATCGGGGACGAACCGCGAAGCGCGAACAACTTCGCGCCCTCGATGGCGCCCTTGCACCAAGGACGGAGGAACGAGGACCGAAAACGGGAAGACTCAGCATGCGGGGGAGGGTAAGAATGAGGAGGATGAAGCGAAGCAGGATCAGAAGGCGCAAGGATCGGCAGAGGTGTAGGTGCAGGCGGTGGCGGCGGAGGGAGAGGGGGGGAGGGGAGGCACGGAAAGCCGAAGAGGAGGAGGAGGAGGAGCCTCCCCCCGCTCGGCGCCCATTATTGTCCTCCTCCCCCGAGTCCGCCCTCGTCCTTCGCCTCGTCGTTCTCGTCCAAGAGTCAAGGTAAGACGGAGGGAGAAAAAGAGAACAATGACAGTGACGATGGCGCGCTGGGCACTAACCGCGGAACGAGTGGAGCCTGAAATCTGCCAGCACTGCTCAACCCAGTAGGGGTCGATGGGCATATAGGAGTGCTTGAGGGCATAAGGAGGCTCCCAAAAGCTCCACTCACCCACAACTTCTGGATTGGTGGGCATGCTTCAGTATGCGCAACGTAAGGTGCTGGTAATACCCGGCACACTTAATTACCTCCTCCGTACTGCGAATGAATGACCGCCTGCACGGCTGGGGCATGCACGCACAAGAACGTTGTAGACCAAAGCGCCTGAGATCCGAAACGGCACTGGAAAATGACCACCTTCCCATCGCACGAATGACAGAGAGGAGGAGTTATCTCAGGAGGAAGCCAAATGGATGAGGAGGTTGGGTCTGTGGCTCTTGGCAGGGTGCTCCAACAAGATGGGCATTCTAGCAAGCACGCGCTCATACAGAAAGAGAACGGACGTTCAGAGCAAAATGTTGCCTACGTAATTACATTGAACTGACTCCTTTCCTCCTTCCTCTGGCACTGACTGAGATTTGTCGATCCCCACGGCCGGTTCAACCCTCTGAGGGGTCGGGGGCGCTTCTTGACACCAGGGCAGGCATGGAACCTGGCGGCGGACCCGATTTTGCACGGGGGGCCCGCCATGATCCCACAAATGTGCCCGTGCCTGAGTTGCCCTCATCCGCCAGTCAACGGGTCAAGGCGACGCAGGGTCTCCCCTCCCCCCTTCCTCCTCTTCCTCCTCCTCCTCCTCCTTCTGCTCCGGTGGCTCCTCCCCCTCAGTCCTCCTCCTCCTGCTCCTCCTCCTCCTCCTCCCCCTCCTCCTGCTCCTCCTCCTCCTCCTCCTGCTCCCCTCCTTCTCCTCCTCCTTCTCCTCGTCCTCCTCCTCCTCCTCCATCTGGCAGAGGGGGGAGCAGCCCTCGGGAGGGGGGGGGGGGGGGGGGGGGGGGGCAAAACCTCCCCAGGAGGCCCATCCAAGGCGGTCCCTCTGCGTGGGCGCAAGGACTTCTTGGGCTAATCGAGAGCGTTGCCTCCAGCTCCAGGGGCCACTGTGGGCCATAGCTGGAGGGCTTGGACGGTGGAGGGGAGGAGGAGGAGAAGGAGGAGGAGGAGGAGGAGGAGGAGGAGGAGGAGGAGGAGGAGGGGGAGAGGGCGGGTGGACGGAGGAGAAAGGAGGAAGGACGGGAGCAGAAGAAGGAGCGAGGAAGAGGAGGATAGCCCCCCCATCCCTTCCCCTCTCCGCGCCCTAGCGCCCATTCTCCCACTCCCCCTCCCCCTCCGTTTACCCCTCTCCTGCCAGTCGCGCCCCACCCACCCCTCCCCGTCGCTGCACTGCTCCACGTCCAACCGTCGCCCCATCCTCCCTCCCCCACCTCCCCCGCGCGAGATATCCGACGCCGAGGTTTGTCTTTTCGCCACGTGGACCCCCCAGAAATCCGGATCCCCGTCCCGGGACCAGTCGTCCCCTCCCGACGCCGTTCTGCGACAGGGCTCCCCAGCGCCCGGTGGACGGCCCTCCCGGAGGCCGAAGTCGGCCAGAGCCCTCTCCGCTGGCGCTTGTTCTTGCCTGCGGCGCGAGGTGGCCCTGAGGTTCCCCTCCGCCTCGCCCTCCTGAGGGCCAACGCCAGGAGGAAACCGGCCCAGGAGAGCAGGTCTCGAGCATGCATCAGTGACATGTCGCCGACAGGTCGGCGATGCCGGCTCCGCGCCTTCCCTGGCGGGGTTGGGCGGTCGGGCCCTATCGGAGTCCATGCATACCCCCCTGAACCAGTTCCCCCCCCCCTGAAATCATCCCTGACTGTATCCCTGACTCACCGTTCCCGTCACCGCCCCCCCGCGGCGGACTGCTGAGGGCGTGGGGGGCATCCTGTACTTGATCTGGAGGGTCACGTTGGGGGCATCCGAGTCCTCACGGGAGGGCGCGCCGGTCACTGGCCCTCGCTCCTCCTCCTCCTCCTCCTCCTCCTCCTCCTCCTCCTCCTCCTCCTTCTCCTCCTCCTCCTCCTCCTCCTCCTCCTCGCTGCCTCCTTGTCCTCCTCCGCCGCTACTTAATCGTTCTTTCCTGCTAGTCCTCGACGCCCCCCTTCTCCTCCGCCGCCGCCGCCGTCGGCTTCTCCTCCTCCTCCTCCTCCTCCTCCTCCTCCTCCTCAGTATACTCATCCACCGCCCCGCATCCTTTCGTTTTCGTTCCCTGCTCTTTTTGTTGCCATCAACGGCTATGCCTCAGCGCATGTGCTTTGGCGACCAGCCCGAGCGAGACGACTCGGCCTGTCCTCGGAAACTCAGCTACGCGGTGATGTGTAAAAATGTAATTAGTTCCAAACACCACACCCGCCTTGTCGGGGTGTTTGCCAGCTGAGAGCTTCCTCCAATTACGAGTGCCCGTGACGGCGGGAGGCTTGCACTGGGCACCGAGCCCCTTCACCTGAGCAGCCGAGGAACAAAACTTGCACAGGACACAAGTGAACGCGAAGGCGTTGTCCGAGCACGCCAGGGCAATGACTTCGTGCCCGAGCCGTTTCGACAACGGAGCACCCTATCGAGAGTGCCCCCGGCAGCCTTCAGCTTCTGGGCAGTCCTTGGACATGGACCCCCTTAGACAGACTCTGCGTATCCAACCTGACCTGATCACTTCCCATTGTTGCTGCAGCCACGAAGCGGCCGGGGCAGGAGGAGAAGGAACATGCTCCACCCCAAGGAACTCCACCCGAGGCCAGAGGGGGAGAACGGCAGCACCAACAGTAAGGACAACCTTGGCATCGAGAGCCGTCAGATCGAAAGACAGGTGGCTCGCTACACCTCTCTTGGCCCCAGCGTCTACCAACTCGTTCCCAGGCCTCCGCACGGTGTCCCTGTGGGCATCTGCCTTGGCCAGAGACTCGAGGCGGTCCCCGACTCGAGACCCGCCCTGCAGCGAGAGCCCAGAGCAGAACACCTTAGGAGACTCACAGGAATCAGGGCCCCGAGAATCGTGGGACACGAGATTGGCACAGCCAATATAGGCGTCCGAGGGTCCTTTCGGGAGCGGCCAAGAGGGGGGTGTCCCAGAGGGGGGGGGGGGGTGCAAATCATGACCGGCGGCATGTGCGCGGCCCAGCGGGGGGGCCAGGGACGTAATGAAACAAGAGGAATCGCCATGAAATCTGAGAAAAATCATGGCACGCGCCATGATATCCGCCCCCCCCTAGTCATCACCCCCGTCTTTTCCGCCCCCCCATCCTCCCGAATCGTGGCCCCTCCCGCCCAAGGGCGGGGAGCTCGGCAGCCCGGGGGGGAGACTGCGCGCACGGAGGCCGCGCGGGAGCGGAGAAGGCGCACGGCGGCGAGGCCTCGGGCTCTCGGCCGTAGCCTCCTCCTCCTCCTCCTCCTCCTCCTCCTCCGCCTCCTCCTCCTCCTCTTCCTCCTCCTCCTCCTCCTCCTCCTCCTCCTCCTCCTCCTCCTCCTCCTCCTCCTCCTCCTCCTCCTCCTCCTCTCCCGGGAATCTTGGGCCCGGGCGGAGAACTCGGCAGCCCGGGCGAGAGGCTGCGCGCAGGGCGGCCGCGCGGGCGCGGAGGCGTCGCACGGCGGCGAGGCCTCGGGCGGGCTCGACCACGGCCGCGCACCAGGCAGACCTGCGCAGACCAGAGCTCGCCATCGCTCGGACGTCCATGCCGTGTGTTTTTTTTCGGTTTCGTGCGTGTTTTTTTTTTCGCCAGAGGATCAAGGATGCTCCTCGATGGCCCTCGCCGAGGACAAAAACGCGCACGTCCGAGGGATGCCAAGAGAAGCGGGATGCCTGATGCGTGACCCGTCCACAGAGCGCGACCCTCAGACCCCAAGATCCAGTAGGCCCCGAGCCCCCCCTGGAGCCAGAATCTCAGGAGGAACATCCCCACGAACCTGAATAGACCCATCGGGCCACGGCCTCGGGAAGCAGCCACCAGGATGGGGGAAAGCCTCGCACATCCACAGACTCCATTCGTGATCCTTGACGTCCGTTTTCGGCGCAGCCCTGAGCACCCCGGGGTCGACCGCCTCAGCACGAAGGTCTGCACAAGCTGGGCACTCCCACAGGCGGTACCACATGGTGTCCTCACCCTCTCCGCAGAGGGCGCACGCGTCTGAAATTCGATATCCCGCGAGCCTGGCTGAGCATTGCAAGATAACGTTCGCATCGTCGAGCGGTCCTTGGGGCTCACACGTTTAGACCTGAGCCTGGACTTGACAATATCCTAACACTGACGGTGAGGGACCCCCGTATCCTTCCCCGAGAGACGCTCAAGCCTGGCGGCGTGGCACAGCGCGGCAACCAACCTCGGGAACAGCAGAAGCAATTGCAGCGTGTCACCGAGATCGTCGGTGATGGTGCAGTAGTTGGTTAGTTGCCCGCCTGAGCGATATACGGACATGCGCAACGCCGACGTCGGACCGCGCACCTTGGCCCCGGACCAATCCTCCCTGGAAAACGTGGCTTCCCAGACACCACGCATTTCCGCAAACAGAGAAAGCTCCAGCAGAGGCGTCCGTCCGCACCTGCCGAAGCTCCCTGCGCCATCTAGCAATGGGCGCCACGCCACTCCCGCTCTCTAGGCAGGCCCCCCCCTCTGGGCGGGAGTGTTTTTTTTTGTGTGTGTGTATGTGTGTTTGTCGTATGTGTTTCCCACGGTGTGTGTGTGTGTGTGTGTATGTGTGTGTGTGTTGTGTGTGTGTGTGTGTGTTTTCCCCACAGTGTGTGTGTGTGTGTGTTTGTCCCACGGTGTGTGTGTGTGTGTTATGTTTTGTGTGTGTGGGGTGTTTGTGTGTGTGTGTGTGTGTTTTGTGTGTGTGTGTGTGTTTTCCCACGGTTGCGAGGGGGCGGTGCTGCGGTGGGGAGGTGGTGGACGTGGCCTCGCCTGCGCGGAGCGCGCGGCTTGCGGCCCGAAGCTCCAAAATCCTCCTCCTCCTCCTCCTCCCCCTCCTCCTCTTCCTCTTCCTCCTCCTCTTCCTCCTCCTCCTCTTCCTCCTCCTCCTCCTCTTCCTCCTCCTCCTCTTCCTCCTTGTCCTCCTCCTCCTCCTCCTCCTCCTCCTCCTCCTCCTCTCCGCCTCCTCCAAAATCCTCGGTCCAAAGATTGTCAAGCAACCACGTCCCAAAACATCATGCTGCTTCCTGGGGCGCGAGCTGCCTGAGCAGTGTAGCCTGGCGAACTTCCATGCTCGAGCCCCTCCCTTTCCTCAGCGCCCGGAGCCGCAGACCGAAGGGAACGGCCAGCGGTGCAATCTATCCCCAGGTTGACGACCGAGGCGAAGAGCCTGACCGATGAGAGGGCCAAGACGCCCGTCGAGCTGAACAGCAATGGCACGACGACTGCACACACCGCCGACCTTGTCCAACGCCAGCGAGCAGCCCAAACCTTCTGCGGCAGCGCGATGGAGGCCTGTGCTGGAAGTCGTCCAAGCCTCGGCAACCTCGCCGTCGCTCGGACGCTCACTCCCCGTGCGTGTTTCGGCTTCGTGCGTGTGTATGTTGATCGGTGATCCAGGATGCTCCCCGATGGTCCTCGCCGAGGAAAAAAAAAAAAAAAAAACACGTCCGAGCGATGCCAGGCAACCGCTGACACGGCCCCCGTGCGCGACAGCCCTGGCGTCAACACGGGCGCGGAAGCCAGTGCCTGCCGCTGGGGGGGGCATCGACGGGCTCGAGAGCGGAGGCCCGGATGGACAACGTGGCCACCGAGCAGCCAGCGATGACCCCCGAGACTCGCGGGCGCCACGGCGATGGGCCCCCTGACAGTCCTATCCTTGAGTTTAACATGTGTTCAAGATGTCGGAACACTGTTATGAACATGCTGCTTCACATGCTTCAAACACGTTAACACATGTTTTAGGCACCTGGGGAATTAGTTGGCAGCATCCTTCCTCTCCATGGATCGTTCTCCACAACCCGAGACCACCCAGAAGGGCCCTTCGATGATGCCCCCCCCCATGCTGAAGAACCGACAGGACCTGAAAGCTTGCAGAGCCACTCTGGCGAGGACAATGGGAAGCTCGAGCTGGCGGCATTGGCTTTCCAGATAACCTAGAAAGATGCCCTCGTAATATTTCTTCTGAAGGTAATAGAACACCGATCCTGAACCCTTGCCTTGGGAGACGCCACTTTCCGACCTGAAACTCTGCCTCCAGACGACGTCGGCCGCCCCGCGGTTGGCCCCAGCAGCCCAGTAGGGCAGCGCGGAATTCTTCTCCCACTGAAAAGCGAAAAGGCCTCCTCGCTCGGCCCCAGAGCCGATGCCGCGAGACAAAAACCCCGATGGGCCTCAGCCCACCAGTGGGCTCGGGGAGCAACACCATTAAACCAATCACGAGTTGATGGGGTAGCGTGCCAGGTCGCCTCCCTCACGTCCAGGAGCCCCGAGCACGGTTCCCGCGCCCCGCCCTTGAGATGGCTGGAGTGACAGAGGGGAAGCCGCCGACCGAGACGGCACCCTGCCTCTTGCACCTCCTGCGGAGCTGGCGAAAAGCTCCGCAGGAGCAGGGCGGGGGGCAGACTGGGAACAAGCGGGGGCTCCTCCCCGGAGGCCGGCCCCGGGCCTCCCCCCCCCGCCAGGCCTGGAAGCGCTTCCCTTCCGCCTGGAACGGGGCGGAGGAGGGGGGAGGAGGAGGGAAGAGGAGGAGGGAGGAGGAGGTGGAGGAGGGAGGAGTGGGAGGAGGTAGGACGAGGAGGAGGAGGAGGAGTAGGAGGAGGAGGAGGAGGGAGGAGGGAGGAGGGAGGAGAGAAGCCCGTCCTCCCCGCAGCGCTCGCCCGGAGGAGGAGGGCCCTGGCCGACGTCGGCACGGCTGCCGGCTCTGGGGGAACGCTCTCTTGGGCGGTCCTGCCGACCTCGTCGAGAACGTGGCGGGCGAGGCCGCTGAGCTGGCGGCGTGCCTGGAGATGCTGCCGTCGGTCTCCCGAT